CTCTTATAATTTGTAGTTGGTTCGTTATGTCCATTACGACCTTAACCATCGAAAAATATAGGGTATAACTGAAGTATGATTTGAAGAAGCGGAAGAATAAATTTTTTTCCATTTGTTAATTAAATCCTTTTATAAAAGTTTCATATTTAACTACTCAAACTTAAAATGGATTTTTTTTCATAAAGAAATGTTAGAAATTTAAACTATCTTTAAGTATAATAAACTTTAATAATGTTTCACATATTTCTGATCTTTTCGTTTGGTAGTAAGCTCCTCTGAAGTGACACTACTTAACTGTGTACCTTGCCACTAACCATGCATAATATATGCCGGTAAGCTGATGCTTGGATTTTTTATTTTTTTATTTGAGTGTTGAAAACAATATCTTTGGAGTTTTGCAAGCGTTATAAATAATAATGCAATTTTGAATAATTCAAAAAAAAATTTTAGCAAATTAATTCAGCATGATAATTTTTAAAACACGGCAGGCAAACTTTTGCCCAATGTGTGCGAGCGCTGGCTAAACACGGCGCTCATACACACAAATCGTCGCGTGAATGCCGACTAAATGCGGCATTCGTAAGCACAGGACATCGCGTGGATGCCAGCTAAATGCGGCACACGCAAATACAGGGCATCACCTGGACACCCTGTATTTACGTGATTAGGAAAAATATAAACTGTAATTCATGACGAAAATAAACTGAAGCACTCTAACTAGGTCAAGGGGAGTCAAAATTTGATTAGCGAGAACTTAAGTTTCGCTATAAACTAAACTCCTCGATAAACTTGAAACGTTTTTGATGATGGAGAAATAGAGGCATTAGTAACACAATTCCAGTAGGTATCACAGTATATGGAATTGTACTCAAATTCAAAATTCCTTAGGAATTTGTGACAAAAGTAATGATGTAAATTTAAATATGCACTAAATACAAAAAGTTGTCGGCAATGTTTTAATTTTAATAAAAATATGTCTAGGCATCAGTATTATCAATGTCACAGCCCGAAGACATTAGATGCATAAAAAAGAAGAAAATTCGATCTTTTTTTCCCATCATAAAATGTTAGTTTGTATATTAAAGATTATAAAAAAAATTCTGTCCTCCATGCTGTTATAAAATAATTAAAACACAAAATATTACATTTAAAAAACTTGATTAAAAAGTAAAAATTAAATTGGAAACTTTTTCATTATTTTTTAAACAGTATATAAAATATTTTTGATATCATTTGATGAATGTAGTATGCCTGAAAATATATTTGAACTTCAATAAAATTGTTTGTTTCATTTTAAATGAATTTCAAAAATAAGAATAGAAAAAATGATTTAATAAAAAAAGACTGTAAATCCATTTTCTGAAGATATGTAGGCCTATAGCGGTCTTGCATAGTTTAACTAATAAAAAATCATCACTAGTACGATGTGCACCAACACATATATTAATTATTCAGTAATACGTAGTTTAAAAAATAGCATTCCGCTGTCGTGGAAGGAAAAAAATGTGATGTGCAACTGAAGGTTAAAATTGTCGAGAACTTTAATGAATATAACTCAAATAAAAGTGATAATTTTCACCTCCAAGCATACGACTGACTCATTTGCATATGGCGGTCATAAATAATAGAAAAAAAATGTGTTTCTGAGTGCGATCAAATTAAACGTGTGCATCAACGTGTTAAGCAATTAAATATTTTAAATCTAACAAAGGTAATAAATTTTCTCGATTCTAATCACAGTAAACTTAAAATGGAAAAAGGAGAATTGGAATCATTATTTTTAATGAATTGTATCAATTTTACCCGCAAGCACTGACTAATTGCCTCCTTGTAATTAAGTTCTTTGATACCTAAAGAGCAAATTTTCTCCTGGGTAAATGTACCTCATTATCTTCCATTTAAAGAAAAACCTTCACAAATAATTTGAGTTTAATGATTTAAACAATTCTATTTATTTCTCGCCAAATTATCAATTGGATAGTTTAGTTTATCACCAGGAACATAAGAACACTTTCTCTTATTTGACTTGTTTCATTATCTGCCAGTGAGTTTACACTCTTGATTACGAAAAATCCCGGATGCACACATAGCAAGAAATGTTTGTTTGTTCAGAAGAAACTCATTTAAATAGCTTCTGATAAGCAAATTAAATTAAAAACAGAAGACTCCTTAAAGTGCCCATTTATTTATGCTTTAATTTTATTTAAAAATTGATTTTTATGTTCTGCAATTTAGAAAATACAATCTGCCTTGTTAATAGAAGCAAGATTTTAAATAACTTAGGTTTGCTTTTTTCCGACATCTACCAATTATTTAATTTAAATTAAAAATGGGATATTTAAAATTATTAAAAATGTCATTTTAATTATATTTTTAATTATTTCTTAATTAATTATGTAAGTTACATTAAATCCGGAATCAGCAACAAGGGGGCGGTAAAAGTAGAGTTCATAATTTAAAGAGAAAAAGTCGGAGCAAAGACTAGCTGCACGTAAAACGAAAGTATAAAATGCAGAAATTTTCTGACAATTAATGTGGTTAGAAGTAACGAGGGACTGTATAAAAAATATGACAACATTTTTCAAGGACTTATAAAGAGGCTTAGTAAAATTGTATTCAGCATCTAAAATAAAATGGATTAAAGGAGTTAGCAAAAGTGACAATAGAGATAAACCCTTGAAGATCGGTTTCGCTGTGAACTTAGACAAATGTATCGTTAGTTTTTGACAAACGTGAATCGAACAATTTTAAAGATTTTTCTGAGAAGAAATGAGAGAAAAGATTTTCTATGACAAAACAATCAATCCACTTATCTCATTTTCCATAGAATTTGAAAGCAATTTGTTCGATTCAGGAATTAATAAAAGGTAGTGAAATTCTTGAAACCAGAGTTTTAAATAATCGATGAACTAAAAACATGGGATATTATTGAAAAGAGACAACGTCAAAAAGAAACAATAATTTTGAAAGCTCAAAATCTGTCGAATCTTTCTACCAACACGTTGAGCATCAAGCGTATTTTTAAGGAAATCCTCATTAGGTCACGTGTGTTGCTTAGAAGGACTCTTATTGTGATATAGCAATATAAAGCGTACTGCTTACAGATTGAAATAAATATAAATTCGCTTTTTAACAAACAAAGTTTCATAAACAAATTTAAATAAATTTTTAGGAGAATGTAAATTTTTTTGATTTTTATTATAATTCACACTATCAATAACAGAAGACTGAACGGCCTAAACGGAAAATATGAGTCACCGATGATTGATGTATGATTGATTGAATATTAAAGCTTTAAATATTTTTGTAATAAATGAAGTTTTCTCATTGACAAAACAAACATATTTTGTTTTATGTATAGTGTTCTATAATGATACTGTTTTCATAATTTATTTTTATTTTTAAATTACATTTTTTTATTTATTTTTTTCAAAAACCTTGAACATCTTACGATTTTTAAAATAAATAGTTAAAGGTGGTTAATCTAAAACACTTTTGAAAATAAACGAATCGCTTGAACTTAATTTTATTTTTAATCAGTTTGATTTTAATATAATCGGTAATTTGGCAAACTAGCAAAATGAGAACATATGTTTCTTTAAAAAACTTTTTATGACGAAATATTTTCTTTAGAATGAAGAAAGAGGAAGGTAAAGTAGGAAATTAGTTTTTAAATTTTAATTTCTTATTTTTTATTACTTAACTTAAATTTTTACCATTCTTGTGAAAATATAAACTATATTAACCCCTTCCTTCTAGCTCCCGTGATATTGACGGGATGGAGTGTTCCGTAGTAATGCGCCAATAAGAATAAAACTAATTCTTTTCTTTTGCTCGGAAAGCATTTCATTTCTCATTTTACACACCATATAGCAGTACCAGAATATTTTTAATGTAATTGTAAATAGTTAGTTTATTTTAAACTAGATACTAGCACTAATCAAATACGTGTATTTGGCAAAATAGACTGACCGTTTTCTTGAAAATTAACCAATCGTTAAGGGGTTAATAAATTAAATATTAGCTATATTTGTTTCCAAAATATCTATACTGCTAAGTAGAAACAATTTATACGCAAATTTTTGAATTAAACGTATAGTTTAATTGTACCAGTAAATGAAATAATGGCAATGCGTCAAACTTCAGAAGGAAGTAAAATAATGCAATAAACTAAATGTGATGGGAAAAGAAAAAAGGAAACAAAGTAAAAAGAAATATCATTGGTAACTTAGGAATATTGGAACCCCGTATAAGCAGTCTATCAAGTGAAGATAGGAATGTTTAGTTTAATAGCACCAGTTCGAATCTGCCAGTTCTAAACCAGTTCTAATAAATCTGCCAGGACAAAGAAGAAAAAAAACAAGGTGGATACAAAATAAAAGATCACTGTAGACCAAGGAACTCCTATATACCTGAAGACGAACTTAGCCAAACATTTTAAAACAATGAAATAAATTTATTCAAAAAACTTACGAAATTATTTGTCTTATAACATAAAGTAATAAGAAATCCATCTTTTTGAAAGAAAAATAAACTTTCAGATAATGAGTGCGTTAATTAAAATGACTAAATAACGATTCATACCCAGAAAAGTATTTAAGTATATTTTTTTTAGATATTATTTAATTCGCAAGGACACCCATAGCAGAAAGACAAAAACCCCTGATGTAAACAACGACAATAGCGCATCGTTGACTCAGTCAACAACAATAAAAACCGGTCTTCTTTACTTTATTTTCCCCCATAATGGTAGAAATTCAGAGGGTCGATTCTGAAAATTACAATTTTTACTCATTCATTATCTCCAAACGTGTAGTCAGTTTTATGTAAGAAGAAAAATATCTTTCGTTTACAATGCAAAATAATTGTTTGTGATTCTGTAAAATCTGTAGGGCACTTTACAGCTCTGTAAAAATTGCTGCATTGTAAGGGTCATATTATAGAACTGTCCTTTTTCAGATAAGATAAAGTGCTGTCAAAAGACGTAGTGTGATCTTGAATCTACGTGATTACTTAAGGTCTAGGAAAAGAATGATAAAATCCTTTCATTTGTTGATAATCCTTTAAAGCACTTTGTGTTAAGAAAAGGATTTCCTAGCTGTTGTGTTGAAAAATAATTGGTGTCTATGTGAAATGATGAAAAAACTGCATATTGCAGTTTTTATTTTAGGAAGTTTTATAAACGGTAAGTAAAAATTGCATCATATGTGTAGCCGGAACTTGTTATAAAAATAACTACGAAATTGCATCATGAATATAATTTTTGATTATTGATATCTAATTTAATAAATGAATCTGAAATAAAAATTACTTTTTAAGCCAGTTAACATAAATATATTCACTTCGTTTGTATAGAAAAATTTTAAAATTACTTTTGCTCAAAACAATTGACTAAATACAAATAAGGAACAAAATTAGTTTTCTTCAAAAAGTAAATAAAACTATTAAAATTTAAAAATCAATTTTAAATAATTTAATGTTAGATATAAAACAAATTTACAATTCAGTTGCTTATTAAATAAACGAATTCTTATCAATTTTCACCTCATTGATAAGATATGGAGACTTAAACTTTGTTTTTTTTTCCTCAATTTTTTATAATCAGTCATTGATATCAAAAATAGACATTTAATCTTGCCGGATGCAACTTTCAAGATAATATGCAAGTGTATTTTAAATACATAATCAAATATAACTTAAAACCTCAACCATTAAAGTTATAAGAACTCAGAAAAAGTTATGCTGTAATTTAAAAAATATTTAAAACAATAAAAATGTCAGCAGAACTTTAAATCAACGTTCAATTTTCGATAATACATGTCAAAAACTAAACCTTACTACAACTATACCTTATTACAATTTATACCTTATTACAATTTATACCCTATTACAATTTATACTTATTCATATATACACTCTTACTGCATTTATTCCTACTTTAATTGTTACAGTAGTGTCTACTGTTTTGTATTATCATAAAATAATTCTTAAAATTTTAAAAGAATGAAGTACGTAGAATAAATGTCTGAAACTGCTTGATTTCTAACGGATATTAAATTTCCATTAAATGTTCTATTTCTATTCCATTTACATTTAAATGAAATCAGGGTTAAGAACAAATAAGATCAGCGTGAATTTATTTGATCCAGGAATTTCGTGTAAAACTGATGCTTTTATAAAGTTTAAAGAATTTTGTTTTTGACAAATATGTATTGTATTATAAATATATATAATTCTAAATATATAATATTTTAAATATATGTTATTCTAAACATGTATTCTATTTTAACTGTATTATTTAGAAACAAAATCAGTTTGGATCGAGACAGCGTACTCTATCCAAACTATTCTATTTACATCGATAAATACTTGTAGTTAGAGAGTTAAGATACGTGTTGTTAGATGTTAGATAATACTTGTCGTTGCACTGAGCTCTTTCTACGCGGCGGTTACAAACTTAGAGAAGAGGTAAACAAAGGATTGAAATTTTGCGAACCATAAATGTCATCGTACGTCGTAAAAGCGCCTTCTCCTTAACGCAAGACTTTTCATGCGCATTTGAAACGTTACTTTTATTTATCTAAACTGTATTTTCGTCAATTTTACATTATTGTTAAATATTATATTTTAACGCTGCTTTTCGGAGCTCTGCCGCCAAGGACAATAAAAAAAAACATATTTTAAGTATCTTACACTTGGAGTAAAGCTATGATTTTAAACTATATATATAATCTTACAGTGAAGAATTATCTGGGTTTTAGAGCAAACAAATAACTTAAATATTTAAAAGTTATTAAACTTTATTGAAAATTGTCAATTTGGCGACATTTTTCCATCTAGATGAAAATTGTCAAAATCATTGTCTCTCAGTTTTTGCAAATTTTTGCGAGCCCAGATAATGAAGCATTGGAGTGAGTTTTTAAATATTTTATAACCGTCGTTGAACAGCAGACCCAATTTTTGGGTTTAAGACTACAAATGTTCAACTCTGCAGCCATGTAATTTTGAACCCAATCCGAAAGACAAGGGAACTCCAGTTAATTTGCTTTCGTGGAGGATTTTTTGATGGAGCTAATCATCATTTGCGTTACATGGAAAAGAAGACCATGAAAACCTGCCCTGGTTAGATTGACAAGGGGACTAACCCATGATCCGTCTACCACTGAAGATATTCTACGTCAGCACTGTGGTCGGTACAAGCTGGTTATGGAATTCCTATCGACCAGCCGTTGCTGGGATTCGAACCTGGCTCACCTCTTTGGAGGGCGAACGCTCTATCTCCTGAGCCATCACGGCTCAGTTTTTAAATATTAAAAAATTAGACCACTAGCACTTTTCATTTTCACAAAACAAGGGCTTTTCTCCTTATTGACGTTTTGTGCCATTTTCAAAGTAAACGTAGACAGCGCTGACCTTAGATAAACTAAATATGGCCTAATGGTCATGAGTAACAGTTGCAAATTCACAGCAGTTATAAAAATAGGATTAGTCGCAAAAAAGCATTATTTCATATTACTGCGTAGCCTTAAAAAAATAGCCTTAATAGGATCATAAATTGCTGTTTCATCGCATATTAATGATTTGGTGATCATTTTGGCGATAACAAGAATTTGTCACCAAATCATACTGTGATAAAATAGCTATTTTTGGGTCTAAATAAATGCAATTTTCCAAAATAATTTAAAAAAACGTAGAATTAAGATAATGTAAGATAATTCAGATATATAAAAGTACTATTTCAATGGCCAGTCCTAAATGATAAGAATGCTACGAGGTTGGTTTACAATTCTGAATCATTATGAAACCGCTTCTTTCCGCAATCACTGTCATCCCTCTCATGTCTGTTTGCTGATAACTCAAAATAAATTCTAGTGATCAACCCTATATGAAGAACGAACGGTTATCCAGCAAGTAAATTTATAATGGATGATAAATACGTGTTAGAACATGTAGAATTTTCTTGAATTTGTAGAATTTTTTCAAGATAATACTCTGCAAATTCAATAATTGATACAAGAATTTTCAAAAATTTCATTTCCTTCAAAAAGTAATGTGCAGCAGTGGTCGTAATGGGGGCAAAGTTCGAAGCGGGGGGAAATTGACTCAATCACACAAAAAATGTATTAAAATATTAACTTTTGTTACGTTTTCCTTAGCCTTGTTTTCTTTTTACATAGGTGTAAAATGATCAAATATTTAAACAGCAAATTAATTTTAGTTCAAAACACTAAATATAGTTTATAACGCTGCCACCAATTTCCAAAAACAAAAAAATCCCTTTACTTTAGAAGCTCAGATAGTATATTGCCATGATTATATTACGATAAAAATAGCTATTTTTGGTGCTATTTAAATGCAATTGTTGAAATATTTCCCAGAAAATTTTGAATTGACATAAAATAAGATAATTTAGATAAATAAAATTGTATTTTTACGGTCAGACCGAAAATGCTAAGTATGACACGAGGCTGCTATTCAACTCTAAATCTTTATTATGCGCCATACCTTTCCTCAAGTTCGTAACCACTGTGATAATTTACCCTGTACAAGTCCTTTTTCTGATAATTCGAAATAAAATAGATAATATGTATAGTGTTATGAGGTAATTAAAAGTAAAAAGGAGGTGTTTAAAATATATAAATAACTCAATACATGAAATACTTCATCTAAAACTGGAGCACAATATGTTTGTATTATATTATTTTCAAGCGTTAATTTCCCTTCTCTTGATTACGTGTTATTTTCACAAAATGTAAATTACTTTTCTGGTTGAAAAATATTTTACTAATGACTCAACTGAGAAAGAATCTTTCTAAACACTCATTATTTCAAATTTATTTCTTCATTTTTACAATGCCGGGTTCGTTGTCTTTGTAACTGTGGCAACACCTAAACAAGCTCTAATTGACGTAACTATTTTTTCCTACTCAAAAATTATTTTCTATATTAACCAGATTCTGTTTTGTTCTTAAACTTTTGACCGTTTATGCTATATCTAGAAAGAAACGAAACGGTTTTATAATATCTCAAAAAAATAAAAGATACAAATTCTGGCATTTTTCATAATAAATACTTCATTCTGAACTTTATTTCTCACAGACTATTCATCCAGTGACTCATCAAGGTGTTTAGTTACATGAATGCAGGGTGTTTAACAATTTCTACCATTAACATATGCTTTTTGGATCTTTGGGCATAAAAAATCTATACACATTTAAGAGTTGTAAATTAATGTTAAAAATCAATAAGAAATGCTCCTAAACTATAACCAATCGTTATTAATCGAGGTCAAGGTAGGGGAAAGCAATAACGATTAAAGTTAAAAATAAAAAAAGTCAACTTGTCTGGTTTAATATAAGACGAATCACCTTTCATTACGAATCGCCTTTAAGGCTCAAACTCATAATATATCTGTTTTCTTAAATATACTGATTTTGAATTATTCTCCCTTTTAATATCATTGGCCCAATAATAATTTAAAGAAATCTCATTTAAATTGTCATTCTTCTTCAGTTAAATATTAGACCCCAATGTAGAGTGCGCAAAAAATAAACTGACCACCCAGAATAACTTTATCGAATCTTCACATTCTAGGACTCAATCTTAATGTTTCGGGGGGTGACCTCAAATATGCAAATTAATTAGGGCAGACGATACTTTAAATTACGAAATCAGACGCAAAAACATACTTTCTCTGAATAAACACACCCTTTTTTTCGACTTATTCGTTTTTTTACCCCCAAAATCTGCCATCTGAAAAATATGGTCCTAGTAGTTTAGTCAGACGAGTGGTTCAAAGTTTGAACCCCTCAATGTTAATTTTACTTTTTGCGAAAACCAGCATATCTCGAGAACCTTTTAAGCAAATTGAAAAAATTTTGCACACAATTATTAAATTCATTTGTCCAAAGTTAACTTCAAGCAAAAAGTAATTTAGCAAATATTTATTATTTCATTTAATTCTAGCCGTAAAGATTTTGAAATGTAAGGCATATCATTTTGTTTACATCATTTTAAGGAATGTAATTTTACATGACAAAAAAAAAACAAAATTTGAGCAAAATCGGTCGAATAGTGCCTGAGAAATCGAATTTTAAAATTATCTTATACTTAAAATTCAATTTCTAAGGATGAATTCGATCGATTTTGCTCAACTTTTTTTTGTCACATAAAATTACATTCTTT